TGGAGAGCAAGACATCAAAGTCTAGCGACTCGCTTTGGAGTATTTCTTCACAAGAAATAAAGTCGAGTGGAGATTTTAATGCTCCGGAAGACATCAGGAAATCTAAACATTTTTTGACAAGCTCTTCATTGCGTTTCTCTGAAATGATGGCAACTTTTTTTGATAAGGTCTGCAGTGCTTGTGCTAAAGAGAAGGCACCAGGAGGACCATCAGTTTCTTCACTCGTAAAATCAAGAGAAGAGGCTCCGGATTGGATCAAAGAGTTTGCAGGAAAACCAAAAATGAGTCCAACGTATTGAGAGTGAGAGAGAACTAGCAAGGATTTTAAATAATCGCCTTCTTCTCTTATTTCTCTCACATTGCAAGAGTTAGGATCATCAAGTATGATCTCTTCCAGTGCTTGGATCTTCCTTTGAGCCTCGACCGATAGCACTGATCCCCAGTAAGGTCTCTGAGACGGAGAGATCTGAATGACAACGGGTTTCTCGGAATCTGAGGTGGGTTCTTTCTTTGTTGAGTCGGTAGTCACGTCAGTGATGAACATTGAGCCAGGATAATGTGTGAATGACAAGTCTGCTCCTATAATAGATGCACTAATAAACCTCCCTCTGATTCTCCCTTCCATACTCTTCCTCTCTTTAACTTACCCAATGCCTTCATTGCTTCTCTTACAGTCACTCCACAAGCCCAGAACACAGGTACCGTACCCTCGGGTATTACCGCCGTGCTTCTCATTGCGTCTGTGTGTATATCCTCTATACCAATGAGACTTGGGTCTCCGATATGTATAGGAGCGCCGTGAGCTGAAACTGGGTAGCAAGAAGTAATGGCAACAGCGTCTAGGAGCTGCTCTTTATTGATTGGTCGCATTGTAAGGGTCATTTTGACTCCTCTCAGTCTTTCTCCCACATCATAGCAATCAATGCTGGACACGTAAATACTCACAAGCTTCTTGTCCTTTAGGTGAGAGATGGAGAGTCCAGCGTCCAGTAAAGGTTTCTCAAACGAGAAACTGCAGCCAAG